ATCATTCTCTCATCTCATTGGACCCCTCTCATACGCAAATGGGACCTTAGGGCCTCGAATTGCAAGAGGAAGTCTATTCGGCGATTAGCTGAGTTGGCGTCTGATTTCCTGGCCTTGACGGCTCCCCTTGCCAGTTTGCTTTAAGTTCGGCCTCTCAGTTAGACACCACCTAATTCGAACCGATAACAACTGATTACATTGTTTCGCCCTATGGTTAAAAAATGCTCGTGCATACGGGTTCTCAGTCATGACGCAGGAGTTAGCTCGGCCGTCTAGACCGTTGACGCGGTAAACAAGGACTGACGCATCTGCCAATTCTAGTCGGTCTTTGGGTTGCATTACTGGGCGACGGATAGTTGCCTCTGACCGGTACCCCATGCCCACCTTTGGTGGTCTAAGCACGTATGCATTCACCTTGGATATTTTACTTACACAGAGTAAGACACGGAAGGTCTTAGGTCTTTGTTTTCGGTCAGTTTTATTCTTCGTACGTCCCTGTTACAGGCATTGGTTAACGAAGCTCTGGGGATATACAGTGGTGGGGAATAGTCACCATAGGGTTCCACGCTCGTCTAGCTTCTTGGCTGCAGTGTGTCTGAGTGCAGAGGAAGTTTGCATGGAATCGGATGATTGCTCTTTTTATGCGCCTTGTGCTCACCAAGTGCTGCGCCATGACAGGTTAAACGACTGATGAACCGCATGCATAAGCATGTTTTAGCCGTAAAGCAAAACGATCCACGATCGCACGTCGCCATCGCTTCGAACTAGGTGGTGGCCAAGTGATAGGCCGTACTAACAGCTAGCGAGGGGAGTCATCGAGACCTTAAAAATCAGACGCCAACTCAGCTAACCGCCGAATAGACCTTTCGTGCCATACGAGCCCGCAAGATTCCAATTGCGCACAAGAGAGCGTCTTATTGGAAAAAAGAATGATGGACCAACCGGGAGCGAGTGAGAATACCCTACTTTAATTCATGGCTTGACCCAATTGTCTATAGTCTATGATGTGCTCCAGCATGAGTGCAAAATGTCTGACCACTAAATAAACTCCCTCGGAGATCACGTTACCTTTCCCTCCCATATATATATGATAACAAATAGTCAGTTTTAAGTACTGTATGCGTCGAGTTTTTCGACAAAACTACAGAGATGACTTTGAAGAATCATGGTGTTTAACGTCCGATGAGGCAGAGGAGGCAGTGCTTTTCCT